AAAGTCTCCAAACTGTCATAAATTCTTCTTGCACACTTGAAGGCATGGACTTGCATGAACCCTGGCATATCAGTAACCAACACCTTCACTTGAAGAAATGAAGCCACTGATCCTGCGTTCACTTCCACATGTGAAACTGATTTTCTTGTCTCTACAATTGACACTGATTTTCTCGATTCCGCCAACTCTCCTCCGCCTTCTGCCGCCTTCAATCCGCCGTGATCGGAGCTTTCTCGATACGTTTTCGACCTCATTAGTCCCCAGCCCCGAGATATCGACTTTTTAACGGTGGCCGGATAGTTCGATTCGGGCTTCAAATTTCCAGTTCCCATGTTATAAACATAGTTATTTGCTTTCTTTTGCTTCTCACCATATGCTGCCATTGCTCACACACTCCTTGTTTGATAGTTTTGTGTAGTTTGACTCTATAAATTTATTTTGAAGAATATATAGACATATTTTACTATGGAATAATTGCACCATGGGTCCCTAACGTATTGATGGAGTAGTAAGTTGGTCTCATATGTTTAAAATGGAGCAATTTAGTAATCAATCTTTTCTCCAATTTATTTAAGTTCTCGCTAATTGATATTTCAAATAAACAAGATTAAATTCTAGGTATTTTTGCATGAATAGACGAATTTTTAATGCCTAATTTTCTGCTATTTTTAGGAATAAATATAGACTTGAAGGTCAATAATATCGTGGTATTCATTTGAAATCAGCAAGACTTCAAGAGCCTGTTTGGTACAGATTCTCATTTTCTACAGTAAATCAATTCTCATTTTCAACCACACATTCTTCAATAAAATAATATTTTTCATCACATCAATACTTTTTTCTTCTTTTTCAACCACACATTTCCCATCATATCACTATTCAAAAATCAATTTTTCCCCTAAAAATCCCTATTAAACACACTCCAAATGTGTTTTCATTACGCTTGTGTTGTGTCATATAGCTGCACCAATGGGCAGATGGGTGTCGGCAGGGTGGTCTCTAACCCACGTAATATATACCTCCAAAAAAAATTGAGAAATTTTTCTAGTTGGCCCCGTTTCATCAAGCAAATTTGTAAGTCAACTTTGGATTATAATTCTCGACCATTAGAAGAAGTTTTTTGTAACCATGATGAAGTACTCACGATATGCTTCGTAATATATCTTTCAATTTGTAAAACCGTTAAACGATGATGTCGCAATAATGAGTTAAAAATGATGGTATGAAATGAGTTTAATAAATCTTATTCATGGTCACCTCTATTGGTTTATTTTCGGGCTATATTTACTGGATTGTCAGGATAGATTCTTGGTAGCGTTTCAAAGAACTAAACATAGTTGAAAATCTAATTTGCATGATTTTCAAACATAAACACGTCTCAAATTCAAATTCACAATTAATCCATATACAATCTTTAAATTTCACTTGTATCACAGTAAAAGAAACTTTTATTGAAAACTTTACTTTTTATTGAGTCAATGACCCACCTACTATGTATCGGATAATGTTTTACGCAATATCAACATCTGTAATCAATAATCAAACGGTTAAAATAACATTAACACAATCGAGTGGACCATCCTCCTGTGACCAATAATGATACATTCCCTAATTGCCCCTATGATCACCCAAGAAGTATCCCACCCGAGGCGCTAATAATTACCATATCACAAAAGCAAAGTCAAGCGGTCAGTCCTCCTGTAATCACCAAAGGTACATCCCCTTTCTTCCTTTGTGATCACCCAGAAAGTCTCACTTGGAGCCAACACATAAGCTACCTCACATGCATCGTTGCCATAGTAATGATCAATAAAACAGTTTAAAATGAAAATTAATTTTTCCAACTATGTCGTGCATATTAGATTTTCAACAATGAACATAGATTCATTGTGACATCTATGTAAGGAAAATCTCCAAATGATAAATGGTTAAACGGTGGGATTAGTATTTAATATGCAAATTTAAGATATTTGTTTTCCTCAGTGTCAAAGTCCTTTTTGAAAGAAAATTGCAAGCCTCCCGACACACTAATCTTGGATCCATTCGTGGCTGCACCACCAGTTCTCCATGATGGAAACTGTAAAAATCATAGTCAAATCTTTACGTGATTATCAATGAAAACATGTCTAATTTCAAATTTTTATTTACATGCCCAAGTTAAAAAAACAAAACGTAGCGTTATAAAGTTAGTAACCAACATTTTATTATAGTTGCATAGCCAGATTCATGTAGTGGGGAGAAACATATCGACAAGCCAATAACACGTATTGTCCAAATTTTTTAGTAATCTTCATGTGGACTTCACGAATTCCAAGGTTTTCTTCATGAAGTTAAATACATGACTAATGTTTTAGGTCTCTAGTGTCGACGATTGATATGGCTACTATAATCAAAGGTTGATGACTATTTACTCCTTTTCAAAGTTTAGAGATCAACTTGGTGCTTATGCAAGAATTTGAGGATCAAAAGTGCAATTTTATCTTTTATCTTTCTTTTTTTTAACTATATCTTATGTATCATCAATCCCCATGAGTTAGAAATAGAAATTCGCAACAAAATAATTAATTATAAGTTGATAAGAAAATGATTAATTATAAGCAAACCATGTGGTATTACTTGTAATTGTGTATAAAATAATGGTGGGATTTCTTGGAAAATGAGAGATTTGATATATTTTGTTGTTTATTCAACCAATGGAGTAATGAATATTGGCATATTTGTCTCCAATGGATTTGTCCCTAGACAGCCACTAACATGCGTGGACACCTTACCTTCTAACCACCCTCAGTTTTGTAGGGTACACGAAAGTTATCATTAATTTTTGAGTTTTTTATTATTTTTTTTTCATTTTTGGATTGTTGTCTATGTCCCTTTAGAGTGGCCCTTGACTCAGTCGACTTTTTTTTTCAATAATTAACATGTAATTAATTAGTAGCTTGTATGTAGTGATATCTACACACAATTTTAGGTACAGGACGAAAAATCATTCGATAATATTGAAAAAAATAAAACAAATTAAAAGAAAAGTTAAACTAGTCGAAATGACTTGGGAGTTAAAGATAAAATGATACAGTATCGATCTCATGTTTTGAGTTATCACCAAGAAACTTCATCAATGTACAATATCGATATCATGTTTCGAGTTATTGTACGTTGAGTTAGAAACTTAATCAATTATCTGTACTTGTCCTCGTTAGTCTCTTTGAAGCAAGTCAGTCTAGGAAGGTGGATGGATCGTTGAAAATACTACAAGAAATTTGTTTGAATTTCCCGTCAATCCAACGTGGATAATTATCATCTTTAGATTATAATTAGATGTTTCACGAATAGAAATCAGTAATAATATAGCATTATTGATGAATGTATTCAAAATCTTTCAAACATCAATTTAAGAATTTGCCGACAATTGAGGATCACATGAACATGTTCCCATAAGATTGGCCCATTGCTTTTAGCATTTATAACATACACTCCTCTAATATCTATAGGGGCAACTATCCTCTACATTTCTATTCCATGGTGCCAAAAGAAGAAGAAGAAACAATTAGGGACGGAAACGAAGAAGAAATCGCACACTTTAGGTTCACTTTAGCCTGTTTGGTGCACATTAAAATGAGAGAATGCATTTTTTTGAAGTGATGTGATGAAAAATATGTGGTTAAAAATGAAGAAAAAGTTATTGATATGATGAAAAATATTATTTTATTGAAGAATGTGTGGTTGAAAATGAGTAGAAGAATGAAAATAAAAAAAATAATGTTGGTCAAACAGGGGCTTAATATAAAATAAACTAAATAATATAATACGATTTTAATGCTTGTAAGTGCTATCTAACCCTTTTCAAACACGTGTCCTAGAGTAAAACTTTACTTTAACCCTACACGAATTTCAACTATGAGTGATTTTAGATTTTAGAGTGAGACACCTATAGCCCAAACACAACGATACAATTATCAAGAGCTAGTTAGAACCCTAAATTCCCTTTACTTTAGGGCAACGCCTTTGTTCTTATTGGTTTGTCCAAATATGAAATGAAGATCGTTAAAATCTTCTGTATATTTGTTATATAGGCTGCTTTAAGACAATTTGGAAAATAAATCTCAAAGGTCCCATGTCAAAGATTCAACATGCTCGAATTGTAGATATGAAGAAGACTATGGTGTTGAGACCCACATGAAGCATATAGTTTGATGGACATAAAGTCCTCAAATATAATAGCCCAGCCATCTCTTCAATTCACAATAAATGGTGGGTCAAGAATGTCTGTTCTAAAAGAAAATTTTAGGTTACCAGCAAGTATAATTGTCTTATAGTTTATCCTGAAAATTAATAGTATTCTTTCGGGTGGGGTTATCGGCCTTCTATTATTGCCAGTATGATTCACCCTACAAAGAGAACATATACAGACATCTTTTGATCTCCTACATGAATCTTGTTTTACAGGTTGTATCATTGTTCCATTTAAACATTAAGAGTAATGCAATTCATCGTCGTTGCAGTGGTGTCAATGGATAATATGGCAATGAACCTACTGCCACATAATTCAATGATCATCTAAGCTCTAGATGATTAACGTTATCCAAATTTTAAATGTCGACTGCAAGAATCTTATTCCACTAGTCTATTTTGTTCATTGCTAAATCTATTGGAAACATCATACAACAGAAAATAATAATAACAATCATTCTTGATCCTATTAAATCTGGAGTCGGCTACAAGAATCTTCTCTAGCTACTTTGTTTTATTCATTGCTAGATCTAATGGCAGATTCAAAAATGGAAATCCAACCATACATGGCATGAAGTCATCTTCCAGCCTTTCACAATGCCATTTAGTTCACATTCTAAAGGCGAAAGCAATGCGACTTTTTGCTGTGTGGAATGAATGTTGTACAACAGATGAAAAAACATTATTGACTAACATATCAGCAATACAACCCCACAAAAAATGGAAAGCTAGGGATTCTACAGTAATTTCACAAAGATATCGGTAATTTTTGTTTATTTAGTCTCAGATTTTGAGAGGTAAGATTGTGCCAACGAGAAACACTTGCCTTTCTGCTTCTTGTATTCATCGTATCGCAGGAAGAAGTAGCCAAAATAATCAAAATCAATTGGAGACATTTTCGCCTGTCATCAATCAAATTAAACTTTCAAGGACAAGCTTAAAGTTCGAAAGTTGTTGATGCTTGAGAAAAGAATCATCACCTGGATTAAAGCCCATAGTGCCCAGTACAAGTGTGAAGCCAACATATATGCATTTGTTTCCACATAGAGAGCTTCAAGATCTTTGTCAGATACCTGTTAAGAAAACTAGTTTTAGTATAATGCCTCGTCAAACTGTTTGATAGGCAAATCCACTTTTCTCTCCAGGAAAGACGATAACACTAAATCCCACAATAGGCAAAGATGGTTCTGCTCAACAAATTTTAATTACGACAAGAAAAAAAATTGTTAACTAAAGAATAAGCCCATGGTAATGATGAAATCACAAGCATAATATCGATTTTTCAAGCACGAAATCAACATGAAATGAGATATCCATAGGGGAAAATGAAGAAAGGATGAAAGCGGGAGGATTAAAAGACAAATAACCTGTTTGACACCCTTTATTTCAAAACTCTCTATTTCTCACTCTTTCAACCACATATTTACACAATAAAATATTTTACACGTAAACCCAAAATTTTTCCCCACTTTTTAACCCCACATTCTCCAAAAAACTCACTATTCAAAACATCATTTTCCCCCAATTTCTATTTATAATGGTCATCAAACAGGGGCTGAAATCTGCTTACACAGAACTTAAAATGTATCAAGGAAATAAGTCAAGAAGCAAAAAATAATGTATCTAACTTCTCTAAAACCTACTTGACTTGGAGTGGCCTTAAACTTTACCCTAGAAGAAACACCAAGAAGCAATGTGTGATGTGGTACAATAAGTAGCCATTACAAATTTGATGGATTAACTGGTTTTTTCTTGTACACAAGGTTTTTGTTCAAGTTGACTAGACGTGTCCAGCTAAGAAACTAAGTGCTTGTTTGGTATAGCTTAAAAAGTTGAGGTAAAAGTCAACTAATTATAACCACACATTTCATGGGACGCACAACTTTTATCAACTTTTCAACCACATATTTCATCAACTTTTATCAAAATCTGTTAAAACTTTTATAAAAAGTTTTGTCAAACAATCCCTATGTAGATAGGAATCAAGCTTGCATATTAGGACAAAATTGAATTTAAGGCATGACAAACATTAACAGTTTAAAACAGCAAGCATGAAAAATTTTCTACTCCCGCTTACCTCGTGCGGTTGATCTTGATTTAAATAGTTCCTGAAGAAGTGATACTGTTCATCCTTATTCGGGTACCTGCAACAGCATAAGTCCCAAAAATGGATACATAATTCCTACATATTGTTAGTATGAACAGAAAAATAACAAAAATAAAACACGACGGAGAAAGACAACATACATGCTATAGTCACAATCATAGCCAGCGTATTCGTTGAAGTGATTCCCAATGTCAAAACCTCTATAACTGTAAGACCCATACTCAAAGTCGATGAAATAAAGCTTCTCTGCATATTTAGCAAGACAAATAAGATTTCATGATAAGTCATATCAACTGATAGGAAGAAAGTTTTGATAAAATTTATCATGCCCTATGTACATCAACTTGAGCCTGGGTGTCAGACATGGATAAGTATCACAATGTATAACTCATCCAATGCCTACTGTTTTATGACCAACATCAAGGATCCATATCCCATATCCCTGTTAGATAGTGTCCAACTGGGTTGTACTTGAGCTATAGTACAAGAGTCTGTGTAATACAGTTTAAATCCCTGGATAAGCACAATTTCAGAATCCTTCCTTACTTTCTCCAAGGAAACTGTATTTAGTTTCACTTAAGGGTGCCTTTCCACCAGTTCAGTTCATTGAAAAAGTTCATGCAAAATGCTATACTAATGCCACACCCATCCCTTGCATATCTGAGTTACCAGAAACATTGAACTAATGTGAATGGTCATTCCAATACTGTACTAGAACTCTGATGTACATGGACCAAAATTTAAATGTGCATGCAAGTGCAAGCAAACTTGTTCCCAACAAAAATAACCAGAGAGACAGATAACTGGATTAAAAATGCAAATTTAATGTGAACTTACGGAAAATTTACCTTCATCATCATTAAGCATTAAGTTCCCAGAAAGTAAATCATTGTGAGAAAATACAACAGGGGCATTAATGGGGTCTGTCAATTCCTGTGCCACATTAAAAAAAATACTTAACCATTAGAAGTAAAGAAAAACAAACAAACAAACAATTGCACTCTATTTGGTGTGGATTAAAATAAGATTTTTAGTAGATTTTAATAAAAGTTAAAGAAATGTATGGTTAAAAAGTTGCATATCTTATTAAATATGTGAATAAAATTAATTGTTGATTTTGACTAAGATTAAAATCTGAATTTTAATTCCTACCAACAGAGACAAACTAACATTTATATGAGGAATATATGAAATTCCTAGATTCTTCAATACATTTTATTCTATTCATTAACAGAGCTGAAAAGCTGCAAAGGTATAGTCCAAATAAAACTTCACTGAAATTTTTTGACAGGTATAATTTAAGGAAGAAATGAAAAATTAAAAATGGGATTAATTGAAAATAACGATGAAAACATATTCCATAAATTGTTCGGCATAAGCCATCATTCAGAAATATTATACGAGATACAACTTTAATAACATTGTGATGTTGACATCAAATATAAAAAATCCTCTATATTTGAATAGTATTTTTAGGAAAATGTGTGGTTAAAAAGTATTGAAAAATTTTGGGTTTATGTGCAAAATATTTTATTGTGTGAATGTGTGATTGAAAATAACCCCGTAACAAAAAGAGCTTTAAAACAATGGACACCAAACAAAGGCTAAGAAAAATAAAACTATTTGGTTATAACAGCCTCAACTTGAAACAACAGACATTGCAAATGAATTATGAGAAAAGATAACCTTGAGCTCTGTGACCTCACGATGAATTTCAGTAAAGGAAATTGTCTCATATTTTTCCTGCTTCTCGCTATCATCAAACTTGAGGCTTGATGCTGCGCTCAAACAATTAGTTGTGCAGATGTGAGAAAAGTGTAGTCAAATGACAGGTGGACAGGTGGCAATTAATCTGATCAAGAATTTGACATACTATGGAATATGGATAGGTTATGCAGCAAAGAAAACTATAATGCAAATCGTAACAATCAATATTTTGCAGGAGAGATCAGTCATTAATTAAAGAAAACCTTTTTCAAAGAACTTGAAGATGTCATTCCACAGTTGAGGTTCTTTTGAACCTGGAATTTCCACCTGGTGGAATTTGCGAAGTTGTTTTGCAATTACAGCCGCAAGCTTTGGCTTTCTCATGTCTGTCAAAAAATTNCCCCCCCCCCCCCCCCCGGGGCGCCGGCGAGTCCGTGTCAGACGCCGACACATGTCGTAAATGCAGTTGGCACATCCAAATGGTTTCATGGTTTTGTACAATTGGACACGTAGCCTACATGCCAGAATCAACAAAAACAAAATCAAAATTTCAACAAAAAAATTTAATATAATTTTTTACAGTGTGTCAGAGACATGGCATGGCGTGCCAGTAAGGCTTGAAAAATTGCATGTCGGCGTATCCCAGTACTTCCTACAAGGACCATTATGCAAGAAAGAAAGAGTTACTCCAACCAAATGTTAATTACTTGGGCTAATTTACGATGAACACCCCTTTGGACTTAGATACCTTTGATCACCTTGAACTTTGATGATTCCAAACATGCAATTCTAGTATCTAATGGTTTCGTCAATTGTTGTGCTTACAATTATAAGGAAGCACAGATGTCCAAGGCAAAATCCAGACATCTCAAGCACAGGAACATTGCTCTAAGGACTAAAATCCCAAATCAAGGAAGAATAATTTAGATGTCACTTAGAAGCCATATGTTGAGGTTGGTTAAAGGAAAGTGCAAGAACCTATGAAGCTAAGTCAAGACCAGTTTAGATGTCCTCAATAAAGGCCAAATGTCCAAAAATTTATCCGTGCAGAAACCTCATTTCGAGCAAGTTATCCATATTATCCATATTAAAAACTCAAAAGAGACAAGATGTAATGCCAAGAGGAATCAAGACAAGCAAGCATTTCCGATGTTCCTAGCCCAACCTAGAAGTCCATGGTGAAGTTAACGTGGACATGTCAAGAGCATTCATTTACTAAAAGTTCTGTAAGTAATTTGTACATTCAAATAAAGCCCATGAAAATTAATTTCAAAAGATAGTATTTGATTGAAAGTTTGAAAAAGTTTTGATACACTTACACAATTGTATTTGAGATCTAACTATCGATTAAAAAGTTTAATATGCAAGTATAAGAAATGCTTAAATGAATTGAAAAGTTTGAAACTCATTTCAAACAGGTAAAACCATTTAAGACATTTTTGATGAAGAGATTTTAAACTTCTAGTCAAAGCTTCTGATGTACAGCATGTCTTTATACGTGCAAAATCTCTTTAGACATCTAGAAACACTATTTTCAACAAACCTGCACTGTTTGCAGCAAAATGTAATTAGAAGAAGCACTAACCATTTGTCTTTTAATTGTTTTAAATCTACCCAGAATATCTTCCAACTGCCACATTTGATTTCTATATGATTAATGATACAAATGGCTAAAAATCTGTAGTTCTGATTGGCATATTCAGATTACATTATCTATCTCTTGCAGAATTTGGAACAGCAGTTATACCTGTTTTTTGTGCTGTTCCTTGTCGATCCTACTAGATCCAAAAGAATTGTTGATGTTGTAACTGGACTGAACCTACATACTTGAAAAGGTTGTTGCTGCTGTCTAGTGTATCTATGGCCTTAAATCCAACATTGTGCCTTTGGTAGTGGATGTAGGTTAAATTGAAATGAACCACTACGTCTAGTTCTTCACATTTCTGGAAACTTTGATCACATTCTGCTCTTAATGGCTTTACTTTATATTGATCAATTTATATTGCTGCATTATCCTTGAAGTTTTTAAGTTTCTATACTTGCAAAAATTTTAGCCAACAATTCATTTGACCTCCCTTGCCTCCCACAAGAAGAAAAAAAGAAACTCATGTTTGCTCAGCTCGAGGAAAAGAAAGAGAAGAAAATTGCCTAGTGAAGGGACTAGGGAGAATAAGTGTACAAGGAGATGAACAAACTCAAGCAAACTCAAATGCAGGTCATCTGCTTTATAAGTTCAATAATCAAGATAATACATGAAGTGACTCCAAATCCCCCAAAAAAATGAGTTTGATGAAACTAGAGTGACATTCAAATACCAGAATCGAATTAATTCCTTGACTGATTAAGTTGGAAACAGAACTTCATTGGACATGCAAGCTCGTTGTGACTAATGATTTTATAGATAGGCATTGCCTTGTCACTAATCTTTATTGGTTTTGTACTGGAATGATATCAAGCTGGCTCTCCAGAAAATCCAAGTAAGATCACATAAAAGCAAACGCTAATGAGAGAAATTGCAAAAGATGTAAATTCTACAGTGTTCAGAAAAACTGGGAAATCTGCAAAATAACTCAATTTTTTACTGGAGTTGCACTTACATATTACATGGCTACTATTATGCTTCGTCGCTTCTTTTAAGGGTAGTTTATACAAGTACAGATTATCACCAGCAATAAAAAGTAAATTAATTAAATAATTTTGCAAACTAACCATTTTGTGGTATACATGAAATAGAGCTAGGTGAAATGCAATTTATATATATTTCCACGTAAGCAGATAAGAAAAATTAGCATAATGAAATGAAGTGTTTCTGTACAGTGCACTACAATAACACAAAACATGATAAGAAAAATACTAATGGGAATGTTAAAATATTCTAACATGTTTTTGAGCTGTCTAATGAGTGTTATCGATTAAAAAAATCACGTTATTTGGAAAACAGCCAGTTCGTTTATATTTACAGAATATAAGGAAGAATATGTTGGGTAACAATAAAAGACAACAAGGCTAAGTATAGACCACAAGAACAGTAACATCTGCTTCGATGACCAAAAAAATTTGCTAATCATTTATATTAAGCCAAGAAAGGAGGGGCACAGATCAAAATGGCACAGGTAAAGTTCAGGATGGCCTATAATCGATCTGATCAACGAAAATTTAAAGTCACGCATATCCATTTTTTTAAATTATAGAAATATAGATGGCTATACATCAGATACACGAAACATCTTAGTTGTCATTTAAGTTCTGATAGATTATCTGCCGCTGTGAAGTAACTTTTCTAACAATGTCCTTTTCTAGAAAGCATAAATTTCTCAGTTTCTTGGCTAAGATCAGCGTAAGTAGCCATATTTTGTGTATATATAAAAATAAGGATGCCTGAAAAAGAAACATGTAAAAACGGCACGACCTACAGGCAACTATCAGCATCAAATGTTGAAAATTTGACGATAAATAATGCTCAGCTAATCTTCAATAAAAATGAGAAGTTGGAATTGTTTCCAACTGCGAAGCTGACCATATGCCCACAACCATTCGGAACTTCCGAAAATTAATCACTGATCCCCAACTTCACAAATACATAAAAAGGTCCATAAATCAAATGAAATAATGGTAACAAAAACACTAGAGCATTGCAGAGAAAAAAAAGGCTTTCTTATTTTATGTTTTGGCCACTTTACTCCAAAGTTTCTCTTCGAGATGCTTACCTGATGGAGTAAGGGTACGCGCATTAATGAATGATTGCACCATGCCATTGCCAAAAACTCCAAGCAACTTAGCACCAAATCCAGCAGCTGAGAGATGTGGAATAGCCTAAACACAAATTTAGCATATCATAATTGCATCAGAAGTTTTTTAAAGCTAGATCAAGATGATGACAAGTCTCTATACAGCAAACTCATTTGGGCTTGGAAGAAATTCAGTCAAGATAATACCAGAGCTATATTCGACTATTTACAGATTATATGATATTTACTAAAAGAAACTCAGATTACCTGTAGCTCTCTTTCGCGGTTGATAACATATTCAGTATTTGGTCCATACAATCTAACTGTCAAGTTTACAACTCTCTCGTTTTCTTCTCTCACAGATACCTTGAGTACTGTACCAATTAAAAAAAAAAATCCTTAGGATGAATCTCATGCATGACTACTTAAGCACTGAGGGAGACAACCAAAGTTACAAAAATAAGACTCCCTATGAGTGTTCTAAAGTTTACAGGTAAATCCATTAGTTTCCACGAAAATGGATTTACAAGCCAAGAAACAAATTAGAGACAGCGAAATAGAGTTATACATAGATTTGTGATGCCACCAGACACAGTCTCAAGAGAGAAATCAGACTCATCCAAATCTGACCATTGCTCGAACAGATCCTTGCATAACTCCCTGCCAAAGTAATGATGAGCAGAATAGAAAGGAATTGGTTAGAATGGAAAGGAAAAGCATTCTTGGTGTCCCAGATACAACATCAGTAACAAATTCAACTTCACTTTGTCATTAAAAAAAAAACAAACAACGGAACAATATAATAGAGCCAATATAGCATTCATGTGTCTGTAGATACTCACACCCTAAGTGAATTAATTTGAATTTAATTTTTCTTTTTGACTAATCAGCACACCTCATAAAAGTGAAATTTCATGTAGCTCTCCACAAAAGTATGCCAAATTGAACCCCATTGCTGGACCATACAGAATAGAATACTAGAATTAAGAAAGGAAAGGGGATTACTCCCAAAAATTGGATTAGTTCTTTCTTGTTACTTTCTGTGTAAATTAGATTACAAAACTCAATTTTCTAAGACTCCCGAGCTGACATATAGCATTACCACATTTATGCCAGCTCTTCTTCACCTATCTAAAAACCATTCATTGAACAGCCTAAAAAAGCTTAAACTGAAAAACCTTCAACTTATAAGATGAAAAAACTGCATTGACTGGTAATCGTGCAACTGCCCTGAAATTTCCATTCTACGTTCCCAAAGCACAGATCGAGATTTGAGTTCCAAGTTTCTTTAATCAAAGAAAGCTTAGATTTCAAACTAACTATAAATAGATATTACCAAACCGAATTTGTTTTCTAAGTATGCAGCATCAAACCGTAATTAATCCTCAGAAAATACAGGCAACAATTTCTGCATTTAAAGTAATAGGTTTATCAATTCAGAAACAAAGAAGCAGTAATGCACGGAAATGCAATCAGAAAAAAATAATTACACGATACGAGGCTTCATGTCGGAAAGTGAGAGCGAGTGGTCGACGGTGAGAGAAGACGACGGAATCTCGGAGCTGTGACTCTCTGCTACTTGCACGGCGTTCCAGATATTCGCTCCCCCCATTTTTGAAGAATTTTTCTCAATTTTCCTGTAAGAAAATCAAATCTCTACGCAAACACGAGGAGACAACTGTATATATCAGAAAAATATATGGAAATTGTCAAATTCAAATGTTGAAAGCAAGAGGATGACGTATTTGGAACCTCTCTCCTCCATTTCCCTCAAATTTATAGGAAGATATTACCGGGAAGTTTGCTGCTTTGGTCGGTTCGCACCAAAGACAAAATGTCCAATTTGGCCTCCAGGAATTAGAAAATTGGCAATTTTGTCCTCATAAGTAGGGTTTTTCTTTGTGTGAACAAATCTTTTAAAAAAGGTTGTTAAATGTTCACTCTTTGGTTATTTATATTATATTGAAGAAGTCCAATATTGTTTAAATTAAATACTAATTATTAAGTCCTTGTTTGGTTTTTTTTTTTTTTTTTTATATTTTTTTTTATTGTTTTTTTTTT